GTTCAATTTTAATACCCAATTTATACAAGGTGCTTTGGAAATGAAGACTATTATTACTCATCATACAAAAATTCTATTATCTGAGCAGAAATTTTTTTCAAAGTATCCTTTTCCCTTAACAATGTATGCCCAGAGATTTTACATATAACCTAATAAGCATACACAGTTCTGAAAGGCTGCTATGCAATGTCTCACGTTAATTAGTACTCATTCTTCTCTGTGAAACTACTAAACATGCTAAAAAACTTCCTTTTCATAATCACTACATACTCATAAGCACTTTTGTTACAGAGATGAATACTTTTAATGCAAACTTGCAACTGAAGGGCAGTTTACAGGTCTCAAAAATTTTTATGAAATTATTTTCTTGTCTCAAAGGCAAAAGCCACCTTTACTACATTAAGGCTAATTTAGCAGTGCTGATAACAAAATGTCTGCAGGCATATTCCACTTGCTAGCACTTATGGCACTTTGGCATTGTCCCTGGAGGTGCACTAAAGCCACATCTTGCTCTAGCTAAATTTCAAAAAAAAAAAGAAAAAGGAAAATATGCAGACAGAGCCAAATCCAATCCCGTGGCAACTCCAGTGACTTCAGTGTTACACCAGGGATAAAAGTAGGGCTGCATTTCACAGCAGTGTTCATTCTTGTAATCTTTTCCAAAACACTATCTCAGGAGCAAGGACAAGCATAGGCAAATATCTTGCCAATAAGTGAGTTCACAGGGATGGTTACAAGTTACTAAACTGTCAGCAGTAAAAGACCAACAATTGGAACAAAGTACAAATGCAGGACAGCCAATGCCCTCTAATGGGCTGGAGTTTTACTATGAACTGCATAAACAAGGACGTGGAAATTCATCAGAAGGGATCTCTGAGGTACAAGGCAAATCACAGAGCGCCCTACTTGTACAAGAGGATGACATTTATGTTTGATCAATACTGCTTTTGAAACAGTACAGATGAAAAAAGCCTCACCAATGCCCTGGCATGACAGATAAAAATGTGTCTAAGAACTCAAGTCTTTCCTCGGTGGCCTACACTGGACTGCTTCCAGAAAGAGTGTGAGCATCTATTTATAGATGTGTTCCTCTATCCTCCTTCAAGCCTCCACATTTATACCCCCCTCACCTTTTTTTAATTTTATTTACTTTTAGTCAATACTGTGCCAGGAGCAGAACCAACACTCTAAGACCTTCACAACCTCACACACAAAGGAAAGGGAAAAGGAATGATGGATAGAGCTTTCCTGCAGGAAACTTATCCCATGTTCCTTGGCTTTACCATGTATTCCCTTTCTCTCTCAAGAATTTCAAAACTAGTTTCTGGCATTTGTCCATTCGAACCAAAACAAGTGTCTTTGCTTCTTACCCAATCATTTCCTATAAATTTAAAAACAAGAGTTTCATTAGGCTTTCATTTTGTTTTCTGAGTGTTTCTTCAAGGAGCCATAACCCTGGGCCAGCCTGAAATCCTCCTGGTCTTGCACAGGTCACAGTTTTGTCTTTGCAGCCTGAGGATGCCCCAAGGCAAGAATAAAAATGTTAGGACATCCCCTTTTCTCCCCCAGCCAGGGGTCCCTGCACCCCTGTTCTGTAGGGATAGGATCAAAAGTCTTTTGTTCTTGTCATCCTCTTGAGTTTTAAATTACATTTTTGGGAAGGCAAGGGGAGAGGGAAACATCCTTCCCTTCCCTCCTTCTTGCGAGGTCTCAGCTGTAGAGGAACAGCTGAAGTCATCCAGGCTGTCTGGAGAAGTCACAGATGTCCCCCAGTGCCACTGGGGCAGTTCTCACCCTGGTGGCACCGCAGGCAGGAGCCCCTTGGCCACCCCTCACCCACGGATCCCAGTGCCCTCAGTCCTCCTTGAGCAATCCTCCAGTTCCCCTGGAGCCAGCTGAACACAAACCTCTTAGAAACGCCAATTTAAGGATGATTTTTAGACCACCACAAAGAACAGTGAAGAAACTCTGTCTGCTTGCTTACATGAATGTCACAAAGCTCTCATTAAATCAAAGGCAGAGACTTAAAATGTTTCTTCAAGCAAAATATCTGCCCTTCTCAGAGTCTCCCTCCAAAGATCAAAAACTACAATTGCTTAACTTAATCCACACATACTGATCATTATATTTGCTTCCATAAAGATCAGATTTGTTCTGGTGCCCATATCTAAAGGTAATTTCAGTTAGAAATGAAATGGTGCTCTCTTGACCTTTTGTCTTACATGGCCCATGAATTACTGACACATTACAATATCCCTCAGCAATATGGAAGCTTGGCCATATTGCAATGTCTCTTTTGTAAGTGAAATAAACTTCGTATGCCACTAAAAGGCATTAAATTATTTTCATTATGCCACGCAGGATGTAAAACACTTACACTGTTTTGATTTCAAAATCCTTGGAGAACAATTATGCTCTCAGGGCCATAAGACTCTATTAGGAAGTCCTCAGAAACCTAGCATGGTTTCAATAAATCCTCAAACACTACAAAGCAGTCACTCAGTTTGAAGAATGAAAACATGAGTTCATCCACTGTAAATTCTGCTCATACAGTGCCCTGCACTTCCTAACACATTTCTTTCTACTCAATCAGGGCAACACTTTCAGTGAAGTTTTCAGTATCAAGCACGCATAGCTCCTTTTTTTTTGATTGAAAATTAACTATATTTGATTTAGGATTAGCATAAATATGAGATGTGCCTATGCTTATGACATTACTAGCTACTAGTATTAATCAACAATTAGATATGCACAAATAGTTTTATACATATATAATTCAACAAATGTTAACATTCAGGATTAGGAACCATTAAACTAAATCAGTGATTGTCACAATGAATGGCTAAATATGTAAATTTCTTTAATTTATTCAATGGCACAAAAAAATACTTCAAAACACCAAAAAGTAGATTTCAGGGGTGACTAGTGTGGTTGCAGAGATCCTGATTTAAAAAAAAAAAAAAATGCAACCACCCTTATTTTGGCTGATGGGCTGTAGGAGCCTAAGCAAGGCTTTAGAGCATAAATACACAATAAGCCTGTTTATATATATATATACATGCTTATGTACTCCTAGAAGGAGAACAACCTCCTAATTAGGCAAACAGGAAAATACCAGAAGAGAAAAGCAATCAAAACAGGCAAAAACAGTCAAGCAGGAGAGGACAGGAGATATTCCATCCCCTTGGGCAGGGGGTGAAGGGGCATGCAGGAGAAGGAGGAGGGGGAAAAGCAAAAACACCCAGGCAGGAACCCCAGCCCATGGAACTTTCTGCTGAAGGCATTTGAGAAGCTTCATCCCGACTCTTTATTTTTTTCCCGGACAGGACGCTCGGGGCGACGCGGCAGCTGCGGAGGGAGCGGCGCACCCGGCAGCGCCCGTGACCTCGGGCGGGCACAGCTGGTGGCAGCTGTGGCACCATCTGCTCGGGGCAGCGGCGAGGGACAGGGGTATATCCTCTCGGGCATTGCCACCCAGCCCTGGGGCACGGCCAGCCGACCGGGGCACTGCCACCCACCCCCGGGCACGGGCACACGGGCACACGGGCAAGGGCTCTCCCAGCCCCAAGGAGGAGTTTGGAAAATGGAAAAGAGAAAGAAGAATGAGAAAGGAACAAGAAAGGAACATGAAAGAAGAATGAGAAAGGAATGAGAAAGTATAATGAGACAGGAACGAGAAAGAAGAAAGGGTAAAAAGAATGAGAAAGGAACGAGAATGAAGAACGAGAAAAAAGAACGAGAAAAAAGAACGAGAAAAAAGAACGAGAAAAAAGAACGAGAAAAAAGAA